CTAATGTAACTATAAAGGACCCATGAGACTATATATACCCCTGGGGAGAGGGAGGGAAGGAGGGGAAGTGGGGGGAGAGAGAGAAGTGAAGTAATTTTGACATACTCATCATAAGTAGTTAACTGAACATGGAACCTTCAACATCCACTTACACTCCAAATGATCAGCACCTCTTCCATGTTTATGCAGAACTTATCCTTTATGGCATGAAGCAGATCAATTATTTGGTTGGTTTTGTTTTGTTAAAGGAAATTCCTCTCTAGACATTTTCTTTCCTGTGCCTCAATTTTCAGAGCTCCTTAGCATCACCTGACCTACTGTAGGCCATTAAATCATCATGATCTTGTATCAATCAAATGTTTTCCTCCAGTGGGGGAAACAAATCTTGTGGATTAGGATGGGTCACTAATATTGTGTTCTCTGGTTTAAAGAAACTTCTAGAATGTACCAGTTTGTAAAACTAGGCAAACAACCTTCTAGGACAAAATCCCTGCAATGAGTTTTGTGTTAAATCAAAGGAGTTAATAATGAGCAGAATCTTCCCCAATAAACTGCCCCTATCTAAAATGGAGATTAGGTTGCCGTTTGACATGGCTTTATTGTCCTTTCTTTAATTACAGTGTATTTGACATTCTCTTTCTTGAATGAATTTGTTTTCATAGTAGCTTTGGTTAAAAGATTAAAAGACTCTTGCTAACTAATTGTTCCAAATAGGCAAAGCAATTCTCTCTGCTCTGCCTTGGGCTCCCAGCAGTGGCGTCCACTGCCTGATCTTCTACCACAAAAAACTTCAAGCCTGACCCCTGCAGGTGGATAACTGAAATGCACCCTTCCAATCACATCGAGGTCTTTTCTTTCAATAGCCCATCAAGTTTTGAAAATAAAAACATTCACACCAAGTACAACAGGAATACTGATGATACGGATATATTATGTTGTACTTCTCTTTCATTGCTTTTGGAGAGTAGCAACCACTTGATTAAAAAGAATTTAAATTACATGTGCAAAATTCTCTGGTGTGGTTAGCCGTAATTCCTTTCGCCTGAAGAGAAAAAATCTAAATGATTTGGTTGAATAGAGATCCTCAAATCATGTGGGCTAAAAATGTTCTGATTTTCCCCCACCTTTTTCCAATCAAACAAATTACCTTTTGTCTAGTAACCAAATCCTACCCCCCTTTCAGCAACTCACAGCCCAGGTTGCCATAGCTACCTTACATGTCTATTTACCACATAAACGATCAAAGCCAGGAGCCATCTACATACACACTTAGTCTTAAAACTTGCTGGAATGTCTGCAGATAACATGCAGCTACCAATTAACGGATTTGCTTGCAGCCTATTCAGTCCACAGCCATACAAACTTCGAACACAAGTTATGATAACACAAAAAAATTATTTCAAAATGACCAACAAGGACCTTTAAGCAGACAGTAAATCTTACCACTATAACATTTCCAGAAAGATAGCAGGGAAGAAATTAAAATTTTAACATACGTCGAAGACACTGAGCTCTCTAAATCATGCAAAACTGAGAACATCTGTTGAAAGGGAATATTTCTCAGACACATTTTTTAAATTCTAGTTAGTTACTGAATCTTCCTATTAGATGTCACAAAAGCTGCCTGATCTCAGTGTTGGGACAAATGAGAACAGAAATGCCTTCTGAACTTTCAGAGGTTTGACTTTCAAGTGACAACATATGTGGGATGCTATGTGCCGACTACAGAATGATAAGGAAAAAGGATGTTGTAGGAGAGATTCTGCTCTAATCTCCAGGATGCCATTTGAGACCCTAACCTGCACAGGTAGTGTTTCTTTCTGGATGGGTGAGTATTCAACCCCGGACTTGCCCCTAACTTGCTGTGTCTCTTTATACTTAACATTTCTCTGCCTTCGCCGCACCATTTGCTCAATGAGGATCAAATTGCCACCTCGTTCTCTCCCGGGGATGTGGCAGAGAATAAATAGATCATGTTTATAAAAGGCTTTCTAATCCTCAGAGGAAAGATTAATACGGACTTTCATTATTAAGCCAGATGTCCTTGAGCATTTTAATTCCAATCTAAAGAATGCAGAACGAGCTAATCAAACCAAGGCCGCTTCCTTGTAACAGCAGCATCCTAGCCTGGCGAGAAATTAGCAGCTACGTGACTCACAAACAGCACACACCTTCTTCTCGTAGTTTTTTTTTCCTAAAGTTATCAGGATGCTAAAAACACAAAATATGTCTGGTAGGCAATTTTGTCTGGGGAATCTGATCTTTTTTCCCAGCTCAAGAATGAACTATTTGTTCTTCTTATGTGTAGGGACAATGGGTGGCTTGCTATTTGGGGAGGATATTTGCAGTTGCGGGAATGCCACAGGCAAACCTGTTGTTTTTGGCTGGGCTTCTAGAACAGGTGGCCATGCCTTTCCTTTTGCCTGGGAACACAGCAAATTCCTTCTCAAGGAAGATTCAGGAAAGTTTCCTATTTACGATAACAGTGCAGAGAAAGGCTAGCACATACTTTAAAATTACTTCCTGATAAAGGCAAGTCAGGTTTACACTTTTTTTTTTTTTTTTGGCCTAACTCAGCATGGCCTTAGGAACCCTCAGAGAACTATCCTTCCACACCATTCCTTTTCTGCCAACCTGGCAGAAGCCCAAACCTCTCTGAATCTTACAGCCACTCAGCCAGCTTTCTAATTCTGCTGGCAATTTCTGGCTGCCCAGAATATCTGGCTATCACTGGCAGGTGTCCCTTCTGGGCTGCCACACCATTGTTCGGCATTTGTGCAGCCCTAGGGACAGATCACTCATCAGAGAAGAGATTGAATTTCATTACTGAGCTGATGACACATGGGTCTGTTTGATAGTTAACCCTGAAAATCCAGCCAGAGCTGTAGTCTGGGATGACAAATTGGCTGGTGGGTGCGATTCGCCCTGCCTGGATGCAACAGTCGGGTTTCCCCAAGAGAAACTCAAAGTTAGGATTGACCCATGCCAATAATGCCACTACCTTATTCCTCTGTACATTCTTTTTCTGGCTGCTATGGAAAAACATAGTATGAGATTCCTGAAAGCCTGGTCTGTCTGAACAACTGGATGAACATCCCCTCCATCTCCTCTCCCCCTCCACTTTATCTCTCTTTTCAAAGGTGGAACAGGCCAAAAAATTATAGACGCACAGAACCGTGGGATGAAAAGTTGCCCATTCATTAAATAACTAAGGAGTTACTACATGTATATTTGTGCCCTTAAAACTTCAATACTGGGCTATTTTCCAACTTCACTTGAACACCACAAGCCAGGCATGCATGGGAAAAACCATCCTAAGCTCAGGACAGCATGCCTTGGGCATCAAGCAGGGGAAGTGTCACCGCTCTGGAGGAGTTGTGTGGGAACAGGGATTCTGGAAATTGAACTCAGACACCACTGACGAAAGGACAGGTGGCTCCACACAGGATCAAATGACTTCTTTGTTCCAACTGAGGACCTTTGTCAAAAAATGTTTTTGCATTCTTCTTTTCCCCTTCCAATCCTATCCATTTAGCCTTCTCACTCCTTTCCTTAGTATATTTTACTACACATTAAAAGAATGAGGTTAGGGGCGGCACCTGTGGCTCAAAGGAGTAGGGCGCTGGCCCCATATGCCAGAGTTGGCGGGTTCAAACCCAGCCCCAGCCAAAAAAAAAAAAGAATGAGGTTGGACTGTGTCTTTTCAGAACGTAAAACAAGCCAAGCCTCCACCCATCAGCCCCCAGCAAGGCAAGGGCAGCTGGCTGAAAAGCATAGGGCACTTGCTTCTCTGGATGTGCTTTTCTGCACTCACTGAAACTTGCCAAGGAGCTCGTTAGGGAGCAAGCCATGGGACAGAAAGGCAGAGGGTGCAACCTGAGTATTTGGTGAGGGTTCTGCTTCACCTTCCAAGGCTGTTGGAAAAGGACGAAGTTCTGAATCCCTCGCCCTGGCACCTAAATGGAAGGTTCGCTTCCCCCAAAGAGTGCAGGGCAGCAGGTGCCCAGCCCACTTAGAAGAAAAAGTGAAGCCCTTTTCTGGCGACAATACAGATGCTAACTTTCCCATCCAGATCTACTCTGGGCCGGCACAAGCAACATCACTCCCCTTGTTGCTCCCGCCCTTCCCACTGGTGTGTTCTCCAGTATTGTCCCATCATAGGTCTATTGATTTGTAAATATTGACATAAGATTTTTCTGTAACTTTGATTGAGTTGTAAATTACACCCTCTTCCCGGCTTCCTACATCCACTTGTTTTCCTTCCTTTCCTTTCTTAACAGCAAGGCTATAAACCTCAGCTGGGGCTGATAAGGAATTTTATCATCACGCCCCAGAACCACGGGAGAAGCTGCTGGTTTAGAATTCTTTTCAAAGCCTCGTGTAGGTAATCCCCGAGCCTTTTCTCTGCCCACTCCTTTCACAGTTGTCTTCTCAGGTCCGGAAGCAATAGTTTCCAAAGTACTTAGACAGAAAAACAAATCTGCATTTTTTCTGGAAGGTCTATCCGTGCTCATTTCAAGCTGGTTCCGCCTTCTCAGCCAGAAACACATTAAAGGCTCAGAATGCGAAGCCAAAATGAGATAAGCGGCCCCGTGCAATTCTTTTCCAGGATATTCTGTTGTCTTTATCCTAACCCAAAGCACAGGGTAGGGGCTCGAAGCTCGAGACAGATTCTGCACAATACATTCCAGCAGCCGCAAACTGGAACTAATTTACATATATTTTACAAACTACTATAAAGCCCTTTACAATGACTGCCTGACACTACCAGCCGCCCTCAGAAGCAAGCGTGGGGGCAGGTGGCGAGGACGGGGTGGTGAGGGTACCGCACGTAACCCGCTGCCTTGGTTGCCTTAGGAAAAGGCGGCCCCGTCTTTTCGCCAAATGGGTCGACTCGCACAGGCATCTGGTCACTCAGCCAGCTCTCCGGAGTAACAGGTCGCAGGGGTCCCCAGCGGCGCCCGCCCTCTCCGCCGCCAGCACAGCCACCCGGAGCTTACCTGCCTCATGTTTAGAATTCCATGACCCATCCGGCAGGGAGTGAGCTGCATCGAAGCCCAAGCTGCGTCTTCGGAGCGGAAACACCAAACCCAACAGAAGCCCGCAAGACAAAAGCAACCGGAGGAAGTCTATGGGCAGCAAAGAGCACGTTTTCGTCCCCTTTTTCTTTGATCTGTTGCTACACGCACTCTGCCGGAGACAATGTCAAGTTTCTCAACCTTCTCTCCCCAGCCTATGGAAAGTCGGTCCCGGGGAAGCGAGGGCCGCCTGGCTCTTATTTCAAATCAGTTCTCAGAGACGTCGTAGGTGGCTGGCTTGGGCAGCCGGGGAGCCTCGCCAATCAGGAGCGAGGGGTGGGTCCTGGGAGCCGGAGAGGCTGCCTCCGCCAGGATTAGGGGAGCTTTCGGGATTCAAATGACTGGAAGCAGCTGGATACAATGTCCAAAGCTCCAGAAGTGAGGGATGAGTTCTATTCTTATCTAACAGCTCTGGGTCTGCTCAAAACTTAACTAGGTAAGGGCCTTAAATCCTTGCACTTCAGAGCTCCCTAAAAACATTAAGACATTTGGAAGTTGCAAAATTATTTCAGCCAGAAAAGTTCAACACTCAGGACCTGTGAGTATTTTT